ACCAGGGATTGAATGAACAGACTGCTTTAATGACTTAAAGTTGGAATTCTGCTACCTATTCATTATGCCAGTATTATGACATGTTCATCATGTAATAGGAGGGGGGTTATAATTACTTTGAAAGACTTTATGTCCACATTTTTTCTTTCTTTTCTTTCTTTGTTTCTTTTTCTCTCTTTCTTTCAACTGAGAAGACAGAAACAGAACAAAGAGAATTTGGCAGGAAGAGCATTAAAGTTTTTATTTTGCTCTGAACTTACAGCATACATGTATTACCTTTCACATTTTATGTGCTCATGTTACTCCCTTAGGGCTCATGGAAAATGAAGCCAGAATGTACATTGGCAGGTCTCCCTTTTCTGTGGAGTATATGTGAGGCTGCTCTCAGTTAATGATTAAACTCTATAAAGGTTCGCTTTTTTTGAAATATTTGTAGCAGTATTAGAATAGGTGACTTCTAGATCCCAAGCAATTAACTCTGATTAAAAATGAATTACCTCTCGTAATTTTTATTTTCTTTTTTATAGTTTCCTGTGACTTTCAGTTTTTCTCTATTGAATGTGTATTACTCTTATCAGAAAGTAGCATTTTAGCCCAGTGTGGTGGCACACACCTGTAATCCCAGCACTCAGGAGGCTGAGGCAGGAGGATCACTGCGAGTTCAAGACCAGCCTGGGCTACACAGTGAGTTCCAGAGCAGTCTGAACTATATAGACCCTGTCTCAAAAAACAAAACAAAACAAAAAAAAACAAAAAAAAAACAAAAAAAAACCAGAAAATAGCATTTTACAAAGAAGTAATTATATGGAATAGGCAGCTACTAAAATAATATTTTTTTCACAATTTTCTTTTTTTTTATTATTATTCTGAATTCCATTCCCTCTGAAAAACCAAGTATTCTTAACAGGTTTTGAATTTAGACACTTTTGAATGTACTATGTGAAGCTTAACTACATAAGTTCAACTATATCCTGTGGTCTTTTCTATCAGATATATTAGGGAAACAACTGTTTTTCTTACTGCCTCTAAAGTTATGGCTATTACGTTACTAGCTTTTATATTCTTGTCTCTTTTCCAAAATGTTTTTAGGAGATTTTTCTCCCCTATAGTGTTACCAAGCAAAGCCTATTTTGCCTACTGCACGGTATGCCAATCACTGTTAAGAACAAATTTTGTAAAAGGGAAAGAGTTCATTCAAGAGGCAGCCAAACATGAGGAAGCCCCGAGTCTCAAATCTGCCTCCCTAAGGGTAGGAGTTGTGGTGGGGTGGTATTTGCAGAAAGAAGCAGGGTGATCAGAGGCATTAAGAAAGGTCATTGGAAGTAAAGAAAAGTGAAGTAAGTGGTCTGCACATGCATAGTAAAACTTAATGGCTCTTCATAGGATACATGTCTAGAAAATGGTGACATTAGCATTCTTTGAGGGTAGTTTTTAGCTGTCTGATAAAAAGTTCCTTTATAATGATCAGTGGTTTCCAGTGGTTTGAGCTGTCTCTACCTTCATAAAAAAGAGCTTAGGCAATCATTAGCGTTGTAACCCATATCTCAGAGGTGTTATTATATCATGAAAGCTGATGAGAGTATATTGCTTTGCAACGTGACCTCAAAAATTGGCAATAAAAACAAGTGAAGTTAGAGGTTTATTGAAGTTTTCTCTCAGTTCCAATAGTATCTACTTAAAATTTACCAAAATTATAACCAAGAGCTCAATACTATCTCTAGCCCTTTTCAAAAATAAAAGCTAATAAACCCACAGAAGATAATGCCATTATCCAGAATTTAAGATTAAATATATGATATATAATAATATTATTCCCTTGACTGTAAGTTGCCCTTTGTGGCACATATTCATGTAGAAATGAATATCAAGAGTATAATTTTCAGATGGGAAGAACAGAACTATGATCTTGTGTTAGGGAATATGTTGGGGGAATTTTAGAGGGTAAGAACTGTGTTTTTGAAAAAAAAGAGTCATACTTAGGAGGCAGAGTTTAAGTCTTTGTAGTACGTAGATGATTGTCATTCCTTGGTGTTAAAAACTGTGTTTAAATATATATATAATATGTAAATCATATAATAAAATCTCTAAATCACATTATAAAAGACTTCAAATTATATATTTTACTAAAAAGTCATTATCCACATTGGCATGAACTTTCACATTTTGAAATTTTAAATCTGAATTGTTACATATTATAATTTGGGTTGACATTTACCCCAGATATTAACTGTGTCATACTAGCTGCCCAAACATACCGTTTATGAAAGAGTTTGGAATATGGAATGATTTTTACTATTTCATATTATGATGCTTTCCTTAAGCCCAAAGTAGAATTCAAATCACATCACGTTTGTATTTTACATTCAGTTAAAGAGCTGATGACTCAGTTCAACCAGTTAATTTATGTTTCATTGATCTGCTATTTGCCTGCCAAGTTTGTGATTCTAACACAGAAATGCACAGAAACGTAGCCACTGAGAAAGCACATTCATTCCACCTTGGTCAGTCTCTGAGCTTCCCAAAGGGCTATACAGATGACCACAATAAAGAGAAAACTATGCTTAGTTAGACTATCTTGAACTCCTTCACCTTTAAGCTCATTTTACCACTTAACATTTTTTTCAAGTGATTAATGGATATATTTAGACTGTCATTATCCCTTTGTGTTGACTGAAGCCTCCTGGTGTAGGCCATCTGCCATTCCTTAGAATTACTGTGGAGTGTAAAGACAGTGGAAGGTGATACTGGGATCCTGGATGATCTTCTCTCTCTTCCAACTGTAGAGTACTTAAATCATTTTTATGATGTAAACTGATCTACATCTTCCGTTTGTTAGTACTGCTTGTTCAGAGTTCAGTACCAATGTAGAATAAAGAATATCCTATGGAAATTTCAAATGATAGTTTTCCATTTTATGGCATCACTAACACTAACACACTTCCCTGTGACTGCTATTGACGCTCAGTTATCTTAACAAAAGACAGAAGCAAAGTTAAATGTGTGGGCCTTTCATTGTCAGATTAAGCATTTCCTCAGGTCAAAAGCTCAGACCACTTATATAATTCCTATAAATCAATTCTGTTTTATTACATAAAAATGTAACTGAAGAATTTATTTTACACTATGAAATGTTAGTGTTCACCAACTTCATTCTGATTATTTTGTAAGTTTCATATGTTCCCTTCCATTCTAAATCTGCCTCCTTTTCCTTCTGGACATGAACCACAGTGTAGTTAGCCAAACCACAAGGAATTTGTAAAGTTTAAATTACTTTTTTCAAAGTATACAGATCATTTCCAATAAAGTCACAACTATAGATGCATAAAGCATTAATGAGATAAAAAGAATCACTAATGTTCAGGGTACTCCAAGAACGGATGGCTTTATTTCTAAATCCACTTTACTACAATTTACAATTTGTTATATGCTCTGTACATGAAAGTGTTGCAGTGTCAATGTCTCAGTTGGACTGGAAGCTATGCAATACTACTTAACCAAAGGAATGAGTGAAATGGAGAAAGTATATGCGTGATAGGACTATTCTTACTAAACAGAAAAGTCACTGCCTTTGCTTTCAAGATGAACCACAACTATACCTATGAGCTCTTTTTTTGTTTTTTAACTAAAAAGTAAAAACATTATTTGGTATTATAGGTTTAGGATTGTAGCTCAGTGGAAGAGACCTTGCCTAGCATTACAAGGCTGTGGGTTCAATCTTTAGCACCACAAAAGAAAAAATACTGTATATAGGATTTTAAAGTTATAAATATATATTACATATAAAATATACTTTTGTTTTTTGCAGTAGTGGGGATCAAAGCCAGGGGCTTTCTACCACTAAACTATATCCCTAGCCCTTTTCACTTTTTATTTTGAGACAGAATCTCATTAAATTGTCCAGGCTAGCTTCAAATTTGCAGTCCTTCTGACTCAATCTCACAAGTATCTGAAATTACACGTTGATCACTATGCCCAATGTAAATATATGTATTTTTATTAGTGTGTGTTTGTGACACATGATGATTACATTTGTTGGGGGGGTGTACACATACATATATCATTTCTTGATCATTTTCCATTCCTCTATTCTTAGTCTTTGCAATCCCTGCCCCCTTATTCCTTTGATCCCCTTCCATTTCTCCAAGAAGTCTGCTTCTGTCTGTCGTACCATTTTTTCTTTATTTTACTCCTTAATTTATTTATATTTTGGGTTTCTCCTATAAGAGAAGTTATACAATATTTCACTTTCTATATTTGATTTATTTTGCTTAACATTATGGTCTCTAGATCCACCCTTTTTCTGACAAATTATTTGATTTAATTTTTCTTTTTGGCTGATTAATATTCCATATATATTTATAACTTTTATCTCTTCTTGTTGTTTACTATTAGTGTTGTGTAGCAGATCTCTAGAATATATTCATCTTTCATAATTGAGACATTGTACCTGTTGGTTAGTAATTCCACATTTCCCTCTACCCTAGTCCTTGGTAACCACTAATTTACTCTTTTATTGCATGAGTATGATTATTTTTATTAGATACTTCATGGAGGTGAAGTCATGCAATGTTTGCTCTACTATGACTGACTTATTTTGTTTAACATTATGTAATAGGAATCTTCATTAAAATAGCAATATAACATGGTAAAGACATTTATAATCAGAAAAACCTAAATAATGAGGTTCCCTGCACCATTTATTTATTTGTTGTTGTTGTTGTTGTTGTTGTGTTGAGACAGGGTCTCACTGTGTAGTTGAGACTGACCTGGAACTTACTATGTAGCCCAGGCTGGTCTTGAACTCACAGAGAGTTCTGCCTCAGCCTCCAGAGTCCTGGGATTACAGGTGTGCGCCACCACACCCAGCCTGTACCATTTATATTAGGGGTGAATTTGAGCAAGCTATATAAATGCTCTATCGTCCATAAAATGAGGGTAAAATGGTAAAAGAATTGTTATGAGAATTAAATAAAAGTGTTGGCATTTTCTTTCTTTTGTAGGCAAGAAGCTCTCCTGGCTGCTATTAGTGAAAAAGATGCCAATATAGCTCTTTTGGAGCTTTCATCCTCTAAGAAAAAAACCCAAGAGGAGGTGGCTGCACTAAAGCGTGAGAAAGATCGCCTGGTGCAGCAGCTTAAACAGCAGGTACTAATAATGTAGGGACTGGGATGGCATGGGACCAGCCTTTACACAGTTTTCTATGCATGTCTTCCAGACTGTATTTCTGGGTTTCATGTTTTATATTAAACATCTGATAATGGCATCCAGTTAATTTTTATAAGTAGAGGCTCTTCACGGATATTATGTCTAGTAAATGCAGAGTATTCTTGGTAATAGGGCACGTTTAGATGTCACAAGTCTTCCGTAAGAATATTTTCTAACTTTGTATAGTGGCTGGTAGGAATTAGTGAAATCTGAAATGAGAAGTGCATGTATATTTTTTACATCCAACTAGATTCCTAGCACACAAATGTTAAGCATATTTTTATTAAAGATTTCTAGTTATTTAAGGATTGGATTATCTGAAATATACAAACCGTTTTATCCTTTCTTTGGTAACCTTAACCCTACCAAAATTTAATGCTTAATATTTTTCTAAGTCCTTTCATTTATGAAAATAAAAGCTAAAATTGTCCCTTTTGGGGCCAGGGATTTAGCTCAGTGGCACTGCCCCTGCCTCAGGTCCTGAGTTCAATATCTGGTACCAGAAAATATCTTCTAAAATTGTCCCCTTCAATGACAGTTACACAACTCTATGAATATCCTTAATAGACCCATACACTTAAAAATGGTTAAAATGATAACATTTGTATTGTGTTTATTTTTTCACATTTTTAAAAGAGTGGAAAGATTTCTTTGTTGAAAATAACAAAGCTAAATTATAAAATCTGTTTCTTTGCCTGATGTGGTGGCACACACCTGTAATCCTAGCACTCTGGAGGCTGAGGCAGGAGGATTGCTGTGAGTTCGAGACCAGCCTGAGCTACATAGTGAGTTCCAGGTCAGTCTCAACTACATAGTGAGACCCTGTCTCAAAAAACAAACAAACAAATAAAAAAATCTGTTTCTTTAACTTTAATCTTCTTCACTGATCATTTCTATACTATTTGTACTGTCGAAAATCCTGTCCTCATATGTCATCTCCTTTATTCTCTTATTCAGATTTTCTGTACAGTTTGTCTGCTTAAATATGCTCCTCTGCCTTAAGTAATGTGATTAGAAACAAGCTTTTTGGGTAAAGAAATTTCTTTTATGTTTTTTAGTCATCGGTCATCAATTGATGGTATATAGACATAGTATCTAATGTTAAAATTAATAAGCTGTACTTACACAGTGAAGATATTTTCCCTGTAGATCAATTTTAAAACTGCTTAGAAATAGACTTTATTTACATGGCTGACTTTGCTCAGAAAAATGCCAATGTCCCTTTACACAGGATACATAGTAGTCTAGCAAAAAAAATAACCCATTACTTGTTTACAAATGAAAGAAAACTTTTCCAGTTTCCTACAATAATGTTTGAATGCCTTTTAAGTAAAATAGGAAGACTGTGTTTATTTACTATTACAAACATCTGTCTGGTAGTTGAAATTTGACTATCCAAATATGATAATGTAAGATAGGAGGGTATTGTTAAAGGAGTTAACTGGATTGTGAGTAAATTTTGCAGTATTAGTTCTCTTAAATTTTTAAACCTAAATATATAGCCACATGACCTATATAATTTATGGTACTGTACCTTATTATGCCAGATAGAACAGAGTAGTTAGCAAATAAGAATATTTTATCTCATTCACGGTGGCTTTTGATCTTGTCTCTTAAGACCGTATATTTTCAGTAGGTGAAAATTAAGGAAATTAGATGAGCTTACAGCCTTAGAAAGGAATAGCTAAAAATCTTTCAGAGGTGCACTGTAGCTTGGTGGTAGAGTACCTGCTTAGCATGTACAGTGTCCAGAATACAATCTATAGAACTATTAGTGCCTTTTTATCTAACTGTGCACCCTGAATATTCTGTACTGATATGACCTGTGTAAAGAGAAAAATAGTGTCGTTTTCAGGACCCCTTCTTATAGTTTCTTCTTCTCCCTTCCATGAAGTTTCATATTCCTGCCCTTTCAAATTGTACCTATGGGGAAGTAGTAGGAAGGAAGTCTTGCCAAAGACATTTTGGTTCTTTAATTCTCTTGAGCGTGTATACTAACTTTTAGACAAGGGAGAGGACTTTTGCAAAGAGGATATGACATGAATGTTGTTTTAAGTTAAAGTGTCTAGTCTTTGAATTGCTGGAATATGTCACAATCTAAAGATAGTTTCCAAACAGAGAGGCAGCAGCATTCACTTGGCCTTCCAATAAACAGAGCTGCCACTGCCTACTAGGCTTTTGGCACTCATGGACGAGTCCTATCCTCAGAAAGAGAGGAAGCAATGAGAATGTTTAGATTTGGGCTCATCCTCTAATATGGTCCCAATTTACAGCACTTTCCCTGCCCCAGGATAACTGTCTTCTTGACTCATTTGTGTCAAAGCAGCACTTAGAGAGGCTACAGAGAAGGAATGGTCTAGAGATGATTTTTAAAAAGTAAAACCTAAAGGTTGTCTAACAAACTCCAGATATGCTGTGGTAGATGCCAGCCATTGTGTTCAGACTAATTCATGAAGAAGCCTCTACTGTGACTGTCAGGCACCCACAGTATGTTTAATGTAAACTCAGATGGAAGCCTGGAAAGCTTTGTATAAGCTGTTTAGCTACAGTGGTTGTAGTCACAAAACAGCTTTTCTCTCAACATTATATTTTGTTTTTTCACCTCCAGAATTTTACAAGCTCTGTACTATTAGTTTAAAGTCTATGTTTAATCCTCTGTGCTCTGTGCAGAAGTAACACAGCCAGATTTGCTTCTTAAGACTACCTAGAATTTTTTCTGTTTATAACAGTCAATGATAACAATGTGAAAGTAAGGCTACAAGCTTAAACTCACTTGGTTTAAATCTACACAATTTCATTTACAAGTACATATTTATAATGTTCTGCTTTAGAATTAATTGTCACAATATATTCTGGGGCTAATATAAGAAATTTTAACAGTTAGGAGAGACTCTTTCAAACATAACAGCTGAACTTTGGTCACGTATAAATTCTCTATAAATGTTTACCCTTTCTGCCATAATTTGTAATTTTATTGCCTTATTTTCTGTCTTTTAATATGCCAGAAAGATATATTCCTTAACATCTTTCTATAGCTGTGGTTATCATTGAACATTTTAACTTTTAACCTTCCTACTGGTACTAGAGATTTGAAAGTTTATTTATCATGAGATTCCTGGTGTCGGATCACCCAGGTTAGTGGTTGTACACCTGTGCAGGGAGATAACACCCCACCCCCACAGGAGAATATAACCTGAACAAGACAGCAAACAGGTAGAACTATCTTAAAATAGTTCTAGGTGAAACTAGAACTAGATGAAACTAGATAGAAAGATAGAACTAGGTGAAGCTAGAATGAAAGCCAAAGCCACTGCCCTATCCCAGCACTGGTCAAAGTGCAAGTCCAAAGGGTGTGCCATATTGGAAAATGGTAGAAATAGCAGTTGAATGCTTGCCGTACCCATCAACTTCAGTGGAAGCCAATTGCAGAGGCATTCTTGCTGGGAGGCAAGGATTCACAGAGAGATATTTGCACAAGGGAGAGTATCCTTATTACTGGGTACTGTAGGATCATGAGCCAGAGAGAACTACAGGGGCCTGGGACTGGGATGGAACTAGAAGGAAGTTGTACTGTCTTCCTTTGCACACCTTCTCTACATTTCTTTATACACCTCCCTTCTCCACTTTCATATTTTATTTTTCTTCTTCAGTTTTTTTCCAGTTTATATCTTTGGTTCCTTTCAGTATACTCTATTAGTACTAATCTGAATGTCATGAATGTTTCATTTTCTCTAGCCTATTTCTACTTCTCTCCTTGACTTCCCCTGGAGTAGTGAAATATGAGAGATCTTACTTACCTGATAATATGCAGTTAGCTTTTCAACTTACAGTTCCTTCACTTGTCTTTTTTCTGCCCCCACACATAATCTTTAAAAACTCTTCTCCCCAACCCCTTCTTTCCAGACATGGAAATATAGTATCATCAAAACCCTTTTCATTATTTCTCATTCTCTTCTGTTTCTCTGGGGTTTTTTTCTTTCAATATTTTTTCTTCCCTCCTCTAATTCCCAGTCTGTCATTACTACATCAGTACTACACCATTATCTGCCTGAGCTATTGGAACTTGAAAACTGTTTAAACAAGTTTGATATTATATATTGATGTATTATTCACTCTTTGGATGTTGTTATTACCAGTAATTATTCTCTTTCCACAGTGCAATGCTTAGGATAAACCCTAGTATTCTGGATATGTTGAGTAGGTATCAACACTCTGGATCATTCCCAAAGCAAGGGCACATCAGAGGGAGAAAACTACTTACTAGGGATATCTCTACTATAGTAGCCTAACAGATCTACAACCTTTAACACAAAAGCAAAACAATCATGAAAAACGAGATGCCTCCAAAAACTCATAACAGCCCCAAATTGTATCACTGACACTGAAGTGGATGAATTTTGCAAAGAACACAAAAAACAAATAATTAAAAAATTGAAGAGAGCAAAGAAAAAAATAAACTGAATCAATAACTAAAAGGATCAGCAAACTTTAAAAAGATACAGATATAGCCAGGCGTGGTGGTGCACGCCTGTAATCCCAGCACTTGAGAGGCTGAGGCAGGAGGATCACTGTGAGCTCGAGACCAGCCTCGGCTACATAGTGAGTTCGAGACCAGCCTCTGCTACATAGTGAGTTCCAGGTCAGTCTCAACTATGTAGTGAGACCCTGTCTCAAAAAAACCAAAAAAAAAAACCAAAACAAAACAGATAAACAGCTTAATGATTAAGAAAGATAGTTCTAGATATAAAAGATCACTTTAATAAAGAATCAGAGATTATAAAAAGGAATCGAACAAAAATCCTGAAAATAAAAAATTCATTTGTGCTAGGGATTCAGTGGTTCTGCCACCTACCTCAAGCATGAGGTCCAGGTTCCATCCCTGGTACAAAATAAATAAATAAATAAATAAAAATTAAGTTGAAAGTTCTAGCTGTAGGCAAGATCAGTCAGAAGATAGAATTTCAGGACTTTGGGACAAGTAGAATGTAGTAGAACATTTACTCAGTAATACTGTACTGGTGGGGGGACCACCAAGAAATGATCCAAGAGCTCCCAGATGACTCAAAATAAACAAACTTAAAGATCATTGGTTTTGAGGAATGAATAGAGACAGAGACTAAAAAATTTACTCACCAAAATTATTGCAGAAAATATCCCAAATCTAGGGAATGAGATGGATATCTAGATAAATAAGGCACTTAGAACTCCAAATAAATGTGGGCAGAAAAGAACCTCTCCATGACACAGCACAGTCAAAATCCCAAAAATTTAGAATAGAGAACACCAAAGACTATTAGAGAAAAGCACAAAATAATCTATTAAGGCAAACCATCAGAGTTTCTTATGAAAACCTTAAAGGCCAAAAGAGATGGAGTGAAGTTTTTTAAGCCTTAAAAAAGAATAATTGCAAACAGTAATTATTGTAGTCTACAAAATTATCCTTTACAATTGACAGAACTTCCATGATAAAAGATAATCTAAAGAAATTTAATACCACCAAATCAACATTTGGAAATCAGCATTTAGAAAATACTTAGTGGTGTCCTAAACAGAGACAAGGAGGTCAATATCACAAAAGATTCCAAATAAGAGAGTAAATCTCACTAGAACAAAAGTTAAAAAGAAATCAACCCCTGAAAAAATAATGATACAACAAATAAGTACATATGTTTTGTTAATAGCAGTCATTGCAAATGGTCTTTACTCTCCAATTAAAATACACAGAAGTGGCAGATTAAATAAAAAAATCAAAACCTCACCCACAAAGATACACACAGACTGAAAAAATGAAAGGATGGAAAATGATACTTTATGCAGCCTGCACCCAAAAGCAAGAAGGAATAGTGTCTTAGTTACTTTCTCTTTGCTGAGACAAAACACCTGATAGCAAAGTTAAAGGAGGAAAGCTTTATTTCTGCTCACAGTTTGTAGAAGTTTCAGTCCATAAACAACTGGCTCCAAGGCAAGGTGGCATGGCAGAGGGGCATCATAGAGGGGTAACAGTTCATAACAGGCAGAAGGCAGCAAAAACATCAAGCAACAAGGGACCACAGTGTCCCTCTTTCTGTCCCATATATTCCATCCAGAGTACACACCTCTAGAGTGGGTAACATTCACACCCAGGGTGGGCATTCCCATTATCCACATCTGGAACTATGCCAAGCCAATCAGTGGACTAATTTAGTGATCACTCACCCTTGATCCCAGCATCACACACTGTAGGTGCAGCCACCTCTGAAAAGCCCTGCCTATGACTACATGAGGTTTTGGGGGGGCTTCTAGACACAATCCATAACAAATAGCTGGTCTGATTCCTAACTAAAGTTGACATCAAACCTAGTCAAAGAGACAAAGAAGGTCACTCTAAATTGGCAGAGGCAATAATTCACCAAGAGAGAACAGTTGTAAATGTATTTGCACTTAATGTTGGCAAACCTACTTTCATAGAACAAACTACTTTATGTAAAAGCACAAATATCTACCAGTTCAATTATAGTGGGGAACTTTAATACACCAATTGTACAAATACACAGTTCAGAACCAGGTGTAATGACACACACCTGTAATCTCAGCACTCAGGAGGTGAATGAGGGAAGGAAGATCACAAGTTCATGGCCAGCCTAGTATACAGCAAGACCCTGTCTCAAAAAAAACCTAAACATTAATTAGATGTGTGTATATACATACATATGTGTGTGTCTCAAGGGTGAGAAGGATTATATGAATTTCAAGGGTTCACAAACATTCAGACCATAGCAAAGTAATTGGGAATCATTCCAGAAAAAAGAAATTTTATGTTACAATTTATTAATATGTGTTGTCTTGGCTACCTTTACATATTGGAGAGAGGAACTGGTTTAAAAATTAGACAGGTAGCTTATTAAGTCAGAATAAATGTTGTGAATGGCCAACAATATGGTATGCATGCAACCATTCTGTAAGAGCTGTGCAGCCAGGAAAAAATATTTTACAATAATATTTAATTATATAAAAATGTTTATGCTTCTAATGATGGCTGCAATTTATCAGATGCCAGGCATCTTTGTGTTAAACTCATTGATTATTCCTCACAGCAGCCTTACAGGGGAGAAATTATTGTTATCCCAATTTCAAAAGTGATGCCTTGGAACCAGCCTATTATGGACTCAGACTTCTACAAACTATGAGCTAAATAAACCCTTTCCCCTTTAACTTTGGGTGCTGGCAACAAGAGAAAAGTAACTAATAATAATACAAAGATCAAAGTGCTAGCTGATTCAGCTTTTGGTGAGGGCTATCTTCCTGGCATTTAAAGACTTTCTTCTCTCTCTGTCTTCAAATGACAGAGAAGCAGAGAGAGAGCTATCTTTTTCTTGCTCTGCTTATGGGGCCACAGTTGTGTTGACATAGGGCCTTAGACAGTTATGACTATTTAACCATGGTTAGGTTACCTTTAAAGACCCTGAAGTTACAGTGACACTGAGGTTAAGGTTTCAGTATATGAATTTGGGGATGACATTTCAGTCCACAGCACCTCTTTCCAATTTTCTCAAAAATCCTATGTTTATTTGAGATTATTGCAAACAAAGTTAGCTTTATCCTTATAAAATTCTTAAGGCACTTGTCGCTTTACAGTGTCATAGGAACCTTACCTAAATTTAACTTTATGAATCATTTCCTCTTAGACACAAAATCGAATGAAGCTAATGGCTGACAACTATGAGGATGACCACTTCAAGTCCTCCCATTCCAATCAGACAAATCATAAACCCTCCCCAGACCAGGTAAGACTGCTTCTGACTGTTTTTTTTCTTTTTTCCTTTTTTTAAAAAAAAACTAACATTTTGCAAATTCCAATAAGTTAGAAGAAGAATAACTAAGTTTCTCCAAAACTCTACTTAAAAAAAAAAAAAGATTCAATTTTTATATAGGAAATTGGTTATTCTAAATGTTTTTTTAAGATATTTTGAAAATTTTGAGAATGAGAATGATGAAAATCCTTGAATTGGATTAAGAAAAAAATTAGTCCTTTTTTTTTTTACTAAAAGAAATAGTGCCTTATTAGAAAAACAAGGCTCTCCTTGCAAGCTCAGTGAGACATAACTCAGTATAGGGGCTACTTCTGTTTGACTGCAAATTATGAAATCTTTGCTCATCACCTACTAAAAATGATGGTTGAAACTTAGTTTCTGTATTCCATTTCCTGATGGATTTCTTCAAAATGTCGTTCTCAAGGGAAATTGTTACCTTCAACTTTTCAGTACAAAAGAGATGCAGATGAGTCTAAAGGGAACCATATTTAATTTGTTTTTTGAAGGAAGGAAATACCCCAAGATCTTGAAAGGGGTGGATGGGAAAGAGTGGTGAATACATTATCTCATATCCCATTGCCAAAAACCAGGTTTCGACATCTCCGTCACGCCCAATCTTAAAATGTGTGGCTAAGGGGAAAAATATACTGAAGTAATTACATCTGTATACCTAAAGAGTCAGGGAAAACTCCTCTACTAAACATCTCCACTAAATGACATCTAAGGCACTGTTTTAGGAGAAGCAGCAGAAATATTGTAGATGAAAGTAGTTGTGATATCCACGTTGCTGTTATTTCTAAGATGCAGAAGGTTATAGCCTTAGCATGATGACATTACTAAGCCAGTTAAGGAACACAGTGTAGTTTAAAAAGGAAACTGTACCTATCTTTAATGTAGGTGAAAGGGAAAGTGGTCTGCCTAGTGTCAATAGTCCTTTCCTGCCAAGAAATTACTTTACTTTCTTTGCCTGTTTCCCAATACATTCCTGGAATTAAATTATGTCACTTATACATAAGATGTATGCTGTATCCTTTCTGTGAAACAAGTTTTGATACAAGATAGAAGGAATTAGAATAGAGGGAAGCAGAAATGGAGAAAGGTTGAAGAAAAAGGCAGAACACAAAGAAAAGCCCCAAATTGGTAATTTTTCCCAGATCTATCATAGAGATGACATGTGAAATGACAAAATAATAAGAGAAAAGAAAAAGTGTAATGATAAACTTAACTAATTTTCATTATTTAGGGAATTAAAATCTAATATAAAGAGTCAAATTCTTTTCTAATACATTATGCTTATATCTTTGTTTTGATACTAACCAACTCTTTTTCATTCCCATGCTGCCCTGGGGCACTGTTCCCTTTGTCATCTCTCCCCATAGGATGAGGAGGAGGGTATATGGGCATAGCCAAAGAGATGCTCTTAGTTCAGCCATTTTGTTCAGAACGGTGAGAAACAGCTTTCCTTAACTACAGAAATGATTTTTTGTTTTTTGTTTATCATTTTCCTTTTACACAATCACTCTCACATCTTGTTTGTATATAATTTATGAAATACTTTGGTGTGCTTTCTGTTTTTTGTTTTTCACGTGATTCTTGTGTGTATTGCTGTGCTTTTGACATAGTGGGGTTTGTTATTTTGTGGGGTTTTTCTCTTGTGTTATTAGTCACTTTTATAGTTTATTTCTATACATTTTGGGGAGAACTTTCAGTGCACATAACCAAATTTCTCAAGTTGTCATTTGGTTAATAAATTACTCTTAACAGTGTCCTGGTAAAATTTATAATGACTTACATCAAATTGGCAGTAGAAAATTGGTTAAATCTTCTGTTAGCCTGGGTTTGAGATATCTTTTTTATGCTAATTAATTATAAATTCATAGTCTTATTTTAAAAAGCTGTAGACTGTACTATGCCTCCTTTTGCTTCTATCCATAAAAGAGTACTTTTAATTCTCAAGAGTCAGTACCTAGGATATCAACCTATGACATCTCCTAGGGCTTTGACATTACTTTCAAATTATCCCTGAAAATAAAAAAGAGCAAAGAAGTAAAAGAAAACCTTTTTAGTAGTAAATCCAAAGAGTTCTTTTCTCCCTCTTTGTATAAAGCATTGCTTTGTTAAGCAGTTGACAGGACACTACCCAGATTCTCCTTTCCAGTCCAGTTGTTGGAGAAGAGTCCAGTTTGCTGTGATACCCTTGAATTTCTCTAAGCCCTTTTCTTAAAAAAAATTAGTAATTACGATTAATAAGTTTGCACATACTGGTAGCATTGTACTCCCTGAATTCAAGGCCCATGCTTATTAGTGATTTTATTCCTTTGGAGTCGGTTCTCCCTGAAATGTCTGTGTCTTGGTGTTAAACTGCTTAAAATGATGGCACATGTACAGAACTCTTGCTGTTGAATGCGGTCAATAAGGATGAAGAGGTAAGTTGTGGAAAGCTTTTGAAATGACTTTATTCTGCCAGAGTGAATGAAGGTGAAGTGTACAGTGTCAGCCAGAAAGTTTGTTAGGTTAGAATGCTGCATGGAAGAGAAAGCTATTAAATATACTACTTTACATTCTGCAAGGGAACATATTTGTCATCATGAGACATACGAAGATTATACAATAGCAGAATGTGGCTTACCAGTGTCTTAGAAATGAAAGTGGCTCTGCCTTGCCCATTTTAACAGAACATAGGAGCTTCTTGGCTTGCCTCAGCAGAAAGCTCCTCTACCACACATCTAAACAGGACTGTATTTTGCTTACAAACCTTTTTCTAGCCAATCAGAAGAAACATGGGAAATTGGCCTGTTGGTAACATCACTAGGAGATTGAAAAATGAACAAACCATTATGTACATTTGTTCCAAGAGTCTCTACTTTCTCTTTTATCTGAATAAAATAACTACTAGCAAGAGTTCAAATGTTCTGATTTTACTTTTTCCAGTTATTGTGCTGTTGAGCTTACTCACTAAACTATTACTTTTATTGGAGTATACATTGTATTTGCAGTTAGCTGTCTTAGTTACTTTTTTTGTTGCTTAGACAAAATACCTGACACCCCAAGTTAAACAAGGAAAGGTTTATTGTATCTTACAGTTTATAGCTTCAGTTCATAGTTGGCCCATTCCGAGGTAGAGTGGCATGGCAGAAGGGGCATCACAGAAGAGAAACAATTCATGGCAGGAAGAAGGCAGTAAAGTAGCAAGCAACAACAGCAGCCCTCTTTCTGTCCCTTATATTCTACCCTTAGGGCAGGTAGCACTCACACCCAGAATCAGGCACCCTTAAAACTAGCATTGTACCATAACTCAATCCCAGCATTGCACATTCTAGAACAAACCACCTCCAAGAAACTCCACTAGATCCACATGAGGCTTTGTGGAGAAATCTAGACACATACTATAATATGGTCATAGCTGGAGTTTTCTTTTTCTTTTCCTTTTTTTTTTTTTTTGTACCAGGGATCGAACTCTGGTCCTTGTGCTTGCAAGGCAGGCAGCAAAACCACTGAGCTAAATCCCCAGGCCAATAGCTGGAGTTTTCTATGATGTATTTCAAACATATAAGATTTATCACAAACATCATTATGTCATAAAAATTTTACCTGAAGAGATTTTGTAGCCCTTTAAATACTTCGGAAGTTTTGACATTCTGTCCAGTTTTCTTCACTTGTTTTCCTTGCTAATTCTATAGAGAACAGATTCTCTCAACAAAATTTCAAACTTGAAATTGATGATTTCCTTATCAAACTTAAGAGCTTAATGTTTTACATCTAAAATATTTTGTAAGACACCAATTACTGGCAAAGTATGAGTCTTACTAAAGATAATCAATACTCAGATGGGAAAAAAAATATACAGCTGAAAGGGGTTTTAGATTTAGGTCATTTTATGGGACATGGTAAAGCATAGTGTCAGACAGGCTTGAGAACAGAATGCCTGTGCTCAGCTCCTTACATCAGTAGCTGAACCTTTGGTTAGGCATGTAATCTCTGTACATTGATTTCATCTTTTAGGTGAGTATTTTAAGTAGATGAGTTGTGAGACAAATTAACCAAGAACCAAACGTTACAGCTTTGAAAGTAGATTGCTTAACCTACCTTATATCCTTGGGAAAGTAACTTAAATTCTCTTAACTCCAGTTTATTTATTGATAAAAATTAGTTTATTAGTCCCTGCCACATAGGGTTGTGGATAGATTACTCAATTGATGTGTGTAAAATGGTTTGGATAGAACCTTGCACCAAAAAACTACTTCACTCTTTGCATTTCTGTTACTATTTTTGTTGTTGCTCTTGACCTGTTTAACTTAGCTCTATCTCCAGGAAGTAGTACATTTTCAGTAAATGTTTTTTTCTATTATTATCATCATCATCTAGCCCAATGCCTTCACTTTATAGTAACAGTACAAAACAAACATTTGAAAATTGTGACTTAAGATCCCCAAGTATTTCTGGAAGGAGGGACTAATGGCACTTAACAGAAATAACCACAATATATTGATGATATTGCCTTTCATCACCAAAACTTTGATCTATATGTTGAAGAATTTTTTTCTTAGGAAAATACATTGAATTTTGTAAAGAAATTCCTTGTATAAAACCTTTAGTTAGTGCCATTTTCTTCGAGAAAATTAGCTCCTTAAGACACACTGACAAGCATTACCTCCACTTAAAAAAGAATGATAGAGTCCTTTCTCTCTCCTCAGCTAATAGAAAAATTCATGCCAAATATAATCCATTTTATCCCTCATATTTCCTTCTGTTATTTTCAGACCTTTCTGTTAAGTGTTCTGAGTTCATTGACTAAGTAGAATCAGGGCATAATTTGATAATGGTTATCTAACTACAAAAAACATTGAGTTCATAGCAGTGGCCTTATTACTGTTAGTCATAGAACTTCAGACAGTGATGCAATCTGACCAAGTCTCAGCCATCCCAATGAGGAGATCCAGAACAAGAATTTCCTATCTAAATCCACTTATCCA